GAAAGAATGATGAAGAACATAGAGACAAAGGAAATACAGGAGGTATGAGAAGCAGCCCACAACACCCCATCATTAAATGTTACCCAAAAGATCAGAAAGACTTCGTGACCAGAAGACCAGGAAGACCTAAAGATCTGGTCAGCACATTAGCCCAGAACTATTCCTTCAATTAGTATTTCCACCACCACTGGACCTTGAAGAGGCCTGCACTGGAGACGCCTTCAAATATAACAGCAAAAAAACACAAGAGCAAAAATAAACATTCTACCAGGGAAGCTGCCCAGACACCCACACAAACACCTTGCTGCAGGTAAGTTTTCTATTGTTTGTCTGCTGAAAGCACCTCCTGCCACCGTCCCTGTGCCCTACAAGTCTTGAAAGATTCAACTGCAAGTAGCTGGCTCTTCTAAAATTTTTCCCTCCTCCCTGCCCAAAAGCTGATACCGTTGGAGAATTCACCAGTGGATTCAGCTTGCTGCAGCACAAAGACAGGGAGAAATACCCCTGGAGCCCTGCTGATGCCTACAGAGAAACACAGCAGCCACGATGCTGCAGGAGCGCAGGGAGGAGCTGGAGTTCAGAAGCAGCCTAACAACACATGTATGTAACCACCAGGGCCAGCTCCTCAGGGAGAAGACACCTGTCCACTGTTTATTGTACTCCTTCGTGAGACTCTTCTTTCCTGACAAGCAGATTCAATCCCAGACTGTATTTAGATGTGGTTACAGCAAAATGAAGCTTCAAACTGAATTTGGCTACTGGTTTGCAGGTTCAAACCTAGGCCCTTCGCCTTGGCCATGTCCCTGAAGCCAGTGGCATCACACTGTGCCTAACAGCTCACAAAAGAAATTCCCAATTTCTCAATCTCCCTCTTAAAAAAAAGAAAAGTCAATTCCCTTGGCTTCTCTTTGCTATGTCCTTTGACCTTTTTTTCCCTGCATTTGTACTTCCAATACCATCTCTGGGTTTTGCCTAGCAGCTGTTAAGTTTCTCTGGGCCTTTCAACGCTTTCAAAATGAGAACTGCAAGTCCTCATTTCACTAACCTACTGAATGAAGTGGGAAATTTAGCTGTTGCTGTCTTCTCCACAGTGCCTGAGGCAGATCTGCAACTGTCCTACCTCTCAGCATTATCTATTTAAAGCCTTTATGCCCAACCATAGAGAGAAGCATGCTACTAACGAGAAAGGAACTAAGCAAGAACCTGGAGGAACTGGAAGGCAGGAGACAAAATGATGCATCTTTTCCATCTTCTTGTATTATACATACATCTTCTTGTATCATAGCAATTATGAGACCAAAGAACAAATCAACTCTGAGGTATCTAAGTGCATATGGCTCCCCTCAAAGTTGGCATAAAGTCTTCTTCAGTGAAAGAAAACGTCAAAGCGTGTCTTACAGAATGCCTTACACACCAGGCCAGCATGTGGCTGTTCTTGATGAGCCTCTGTACACTGTCAAAGTTCATCTTGTGTTAAGTACTTTCGTACAAAGACTAATTGAGGTACTGTTATTACCAAAAATGATGTTACTGGTAGTTTATTCTAATTTTTTTTCCAATTCTTTAAAACTCAAATGTTATGTAAAGAAATTAACTTCTAGGTTCAACTAGCTTTATTCCATTTGTTAACATGTAAAGAGCATGACAGGTATTGACCATCTCAAATCAATGGACTGAAATTGCTACGCTGGTTCTTTGGTGAAAGGGTGATTAGAGTGCTAATTGCTATACAAGGAGATGATACTCAAAAACCTTTGCAAGAGAGCATCGATTCTACTTGGAAACCACATAAAATAACAGCCTTGAGGACTACCTTTACCAGACCTGCAGTATTTCACAGAGGAAGAGGTGTGAAACATCTCTGGCTGCACAGACCTCCTAGATTGGATCTCTCATATCCAACAGTAAGACACTGATTCACTGAAGTTAACAGGTTGTGTGGGTGCAGAAGCCTACCTGGAATGATCCACCTTGTAAAGCAAAGATGAAGACCTGTAACTGCTTAGTAGGCTATAACCATGAAATCGACGGCAGTGAAAAAATGGGAGGTGAACCAGCAAAAGGCAAGGGTGGTGGCCCATTTCAGAACTCTGTGTCAGACAGGACAGAGGGATTCCTATTTCAAATGTATACAAACTGAAGTTTATTTTCAAAAGTGCAGCTTTATTGCAAACTTAGTTTGCTCATTGAAAGATGTTATGTAGTCACTTTTCAGGGAAGAGTCATCAAGGGTTATACAAAAATTGAAGTCTAAGTAGGGGAAGAGAGTTGATATCCTAGGCTGCCTTAAAGGAATGCAAGTACATAATGGCCATTGATTTCAAATGGGAATTATGGACCTGCATAGCTTTGACAGCTTTTGAAATCCCCTGTCTAAATCAACACTCAGATTAGGAGCTGGGTTCTGTTCTGAGTTATACCAGTACAAACTCATAGTGACCTTAGACCGAAGAGCTCCTCCGTAATTTATACAAACACAACCAAGCAGAACTTGGTGCTCAGTTCCTCTCCTCCCTCCCTCCCCAGCATTTGCTAAGAAAGAGAAATGTGATGTGGGGCAAATATACTCTGCACTAGCTGCAGCTTCATTAAAAAGTTTGATGGGCACAAGAGTGATTTCAAGATCAAAGTCCTGAAACCAATTTATAGAAATTAACATCCTCTAAAATGACATGAAGACACAAGCAGATTAAAGAACTAACCATCTGGTATACTAGTTCTCCACTCTTTTTCAGTCATTCAAACACACTGAAGAAGGTATACGGACACAACGAAAATCATTTGCAAATCAAACAGTTGTCTCCTCAACAAAGTATGGAGAACTTAATACAAAAATAAATAAATGCCTTGTCAGATTTGCCTCATTTCACAATACCACTGGGCATTCCTCAATCAGCAGGACAATCACAAGCAGGATTTCATAGGCTTCAATTCAACTTTTTACATGATTTTAAAACATTTAAATGTTACAAACATATTTAAATCACCACTTAAAAATATTCGGCTTATATTATTAAGATATATTTTACCAAGTATGAAATAAGGACTTCGTAACAACAGAAGTATGAAAATCATTTTTGTTTCCGCCACCCACATACACTTGCAATTTCAGAAAAGGACATATGCATCAACCATACTCCTTTATATTTAAGGAGGACAAATCTTTCAAGAAAAGAGGGATAGTATGATTGCTATGATAGTAAGAAGACACAAGACCTATCCCATTTAAATTCTGTTCCTTAGCAAGATGGAAGGAGAGGTGTGGGTCAGAGATTTTGGTGGGCCTGACTGCTAACAAAATGAGTTTCTACAGCAACTAAACTTCGTTCAGTGATCCCTTGCCCAAACAATTTGTTAGGCCTCCCTATTACATGTGCTTGGTATCTCTTAATTTCCTGAATTAGACTAGAATATATGCAGGTAGGATGTTTTACTGTAAGGTAGAATGAAAGCTGTCTTCCACAGTAAGAAACTGAAATGTGAGATTTTCTGTTCTCTCTCATCTGTATCTCAGAAACAAACCAAGGAGAGTAGAGACTTGTTATATTAAGTAGGAGCTACTTTTACAGTCAAAGTCAGAGTACAGTAGTAAGTCTGAGCCCTATAAAGTCACAACCAAATTCCTTTCTTCCCTTCCTGATAAAGAGATGCAAGTAAACACCTCAGTTTCTGCTGCTGTTACCTCTTAGATTAAAAATCATAAAATAAAATTAAAAAAAAAAAAATCTTAGAGCTCGCGGACTCCTTTAAGAACTGAAATTACTACCAAAGAGTCTGAATACTATCTTTAGCAGGTAGGCAGTAGAAGCAAAACTGTCCTGCAGACAGAAGGAATTCTTATGTCTCTATTTTGCTTTAATGATTTCTCTTTTGGTTAGCCATGACTGCTGATAGGTCCCTGCTACTTCCTTACATACATTCATACAGAGCATCAAACCCTGTAAGTGTCAAAAAAACTATATGGCTCCCAGGGGAGGGAAAACTATCCAAGAAAGTCTCAGTAGCTAGACATAATTTGAGAAATGCATCCATCTGAAACTTACCAAAGGGTCTGACCTAGACTTGTGTGGATGGGCAGAATAGCAACCAAATTCTTCCAGTTTCAGCTAGGAAATACCTGTCAGCCTGTCAGGCAAGAAGTTCTGGACAAAGCCACACTTGAAAGGCAAATCATCAATGCTACAAGGCCACAGTAATTCAGCAAGGGAGGGAATTTCTGCACAGGAATCTTCGCTAATCCATGATCTATTTCAATCCTCCTGGTTTTCTTTCTTTTTTTCCCTGGGCTTAAATTCATATCAGCCTTCATATTTTTGGGCAACCAGTCAACTGATCCCCTTGCTGCTCAATGAACTAAAAATCATCAAAACAAAAATCCAAAAATCAGCATGCAGTAAGAACAGTGACCAGTTCTGGAAGGGGACAAGTCCCACTTCTCCACCAAAATAAGAAAAGGAACTGCTGCTCTCTGCACCCCAAACACACACACGCACACAGAGGAGGTCAAGAGACTATCTTAAGAAACTGTCAAACTCATCCTTGAACCATAATCTTGATTTAGCACTTCAGCGCACCATTCTCAAATCAATGTGTGCAGCCAAGTTTTCCGTGCCAGATGCTACCTTTGGAAAAAAAAGTAAATTTAAAAACAAAACCAAAGAGACTTCCGCCCACTGGAAAACTTTCTACCAGATGCTAATGGGAGAGCAAGCACTGATCTGAACCCTAGGAAACAGTAACATGCACCAGTGATCTGAGGTATCTTCCCATCTCTAGATCTTACTGCCAAGATCAATTACATCCAGTAACTGTGCTGTATCCTTAAGGAATTATTGGGGAACGGTGAACCTGCCTGCAATAAATGAGCACCGGTGCATAACAAGCACATGTGAACGCTACAGCAAGGTTCACAGAGGGCTAACCCTGGTCGGTACTGAAGCAGGGGTCTTCTTCTCAACCCCCTCTTAAAAAAAGGGAAGGGAGGACAGAAAAAATGAAGAAAAAGGAAAAAGGAAAGATAGAAAACACAGGTCCCCCATCTACCTGCACAGAGCCAGGCAGACAAGCTCAGTTGGAGGTGGTGAAGGGCGCAGATGCATTATTGGTACTGGTAGCGGTGGCACCGGTCACTGCGAAGCCCGTGGGAGGAGCTATGGAGCTGTGGCTGGGCTGCAGGTCCTTGGGGATGCCACTGTGGGAGCTCAGCTGGTGCCCAAAGGCTGCGCTGAACTGAGGGAGCTGTTGTTTAGGGGAGGTGGAGGCCATGAGTTCAGCGGAGGCAGGACCCATGCCACTAAAACTGGTCTGCGGTAACCCCGGAAGCACACTGGAGCTGTTGGGGGTCACAGTGGCGAAGGCAGGCTGTGTGGTCTCTGAGTGCGAGGTGGTAGGTGGTGTGGACAGGGAGGTGGACAAGAGGTGTCCATCTGCACCAAGAAGGTTGCTAAACGGAGAGGGGTCCCCAAGATTGACAGGAAGATTTCCCCAGTGAGTTCTGGGGTTGACCACCCCGCTAAGTGGCACATCCAGCTGAGTTGGGAGCAAGTGCTGTGCCATCATGGGCATCTCTGCTGAGAAGGTAGCTGCCAAGTTATCACCAGAAAAGGATGCGGTGTGAGGGGATGTGATATGGTCACTGTAGGGAGACGGCACATGCTCACTATCATAATGGCTTCCATGGGGTGAGGAGTGTGAATGGTCACTGCTGTATTGCTGTCGTGAGGTGATCAGGTCATCTGCCTTGCTCAGCAGCTGGGCAGGGTGGGGCCTCTGGGAGGCATGGCTGCCATCATGAAGTCCATGAAACTGTCCTGGGAAGGCTCTCTCCCCAAGGCCACTCTGGCTTATCAGAGTGGCAGAAGTAAGGCCGACGTTGGCTGGGGCTGAGAATTGCCCCTGGATCTGCCCTGCCAGGGGCGTAGGTGGGTTGGACAAGGTAGCAGAACGGAGCAAGTTCTCATCCAGCTCCAGACTGGAGAAATTATCATGTACTATACGCCCATTCAACAGCTCCCCCAGATCCGTGTTAACCTCTCGACTCAAGGACTGCATTCCTGGAGCTCCAGCACCTGTAGAGAACACCCCTATCCCTCTATCTGACAGCTCCTGAACTGGCACACCATCTGTCTGTGTAAGTACTCCAATGGTACTCAGGCACTCAAGAGAAGTTACAGCCTGTAGGGCCCGTTCTAGTTCTTCAGCCTCTTCTGTAGTCGGAAGGAGATCTCCATTTTTACCTGCAGAAACAGGGACACCAGAAGTTAGCGTGCTTCTCTCAGGTGAGCCCAGCACTGGCACTCTAAGGAGGCAGATGTACAGACAGTTCAGTACAGAGCTGCAGTGTATGATAACCTTCCAGAATGGCTTGCGGTACACAGAAAAATTCATTCACCAGTGTTCACTAGGTAAGCAAGGTAAGAAAAATAAGAAATTACACCTTCCTCTTCAATGGAACTCCCTCTCTCCACCCTCCTCTTCTGTATACTACAATACAAGATGCCTCCCAAACTTACCAGACCTAAAGTAAAAATGCGTAAATAAAATTTTCTTTAATGCTGCAAGAACACAAATACTTATTACTAACCTTCTACTTACCACATTACAGCCTGGACCTAAAATTTACACAGTCAGTATAATTTAGGTTAATTTCAACTCAAACACAGTCTGATGTCACATCATATTAGAAAATGACCAAAGAAATCACGTACCCCAACTCTGGGCTGTTCTAATTTCTTTGTTATAGGTGATAGGTACTGAGCTTTCGAATACAGAAATTCGGGCACATGTCTGAACAAAAACTAGTTTCAAGAATGTATTTAAAGATTTTATTCTCATTCTCTTCTGCTTTTATCAAAGGTGAACATTGACTGTGATTCCAGCCCCACTCAATGGCAGAAAGATGCCATTACTGAGAACACTCTTGATTAAACTGCAACACTGACAGGCAGTAAAAACATAAAATTAATTATTAAAATACGAAACCAATTAGGATTTTCAGAGTAGTAATTATAAGAGCAAGCAGAGAACTACACACACCAGCTGCCTTAAAGTCTGCTTTACTTCAGAGCTCACAAACAAAACAATAGAGCAAATGCACACTTCCTTGTCCAGAATTTATTACCTCTGTAGGAAAACAAATAAGCCCTCAAAATGCATTTTAGAAACACTCACTTCTTCAGTTCACTGACTCTGTTCACATTAGCATAAAATAAAATATAATGGTACCTTCAAAGAAATCAAAATCTTGCAAGTCATCGGGCAGCCGTGGTAGGACATCAGAGAAGTCCTCCTGATTCAATTCCAAGTCATGTGGAATGTCTGTGATTTCATTGGCGATATCATCAGGCAGCTCATCGGCACTCAGTTCTGGTGTGGAAGGGCTCCTGGATATAAAGTATCATTAGTCTCTGGTGTTCAACTCTGATTCCTCCTAAATAACAACTATGAATGCATATCCATCTACAATGGGTGTTTCCCCACACCTTACCCACCCCATCATCTAGGAAAAAAATGCTTTTGAGAAAGTTTCTTTAGGAAGCTTATACTTAGTCTATTGTTTAAATACATAAGATGCAGCATCAGGAGCAAGACATTTTATCCATCAAACCCAGTAATTGCTCAAATCTGAAATGACCCACTCTAAGGTTTTTTGTTTAACAGTCACATGGAGATGTAATTTCTAGCCCCACTCCAGATGCTGATCAGCACAGCAGCATCATACCTTTCTACAGGGCTCATTGACAACATTCAAGCTAGCAGTGGGCAAACTGGGACAGGGCTACCACTGACCGTATGTGGGGCATTTCTACCGGCAGTGAGACACTGGCAGGCATGGTGAGGTTCCCTTGGGGCACTGCAGGAGGAATCGGTTTCTGGGGCCGGCGTGGGCCTCGCCTTCTCTTCTTCTTGTGTTTTTTGGTAAGTGCAGGTGGCTTTGTTTTTTTCCTGGGTTTCCTCTGCTGCTGGTGCTGAACTTTACGGGAGCTGTCCCCTCTCAAAAAATTGTCCTTTGGGAATAAAACAATAGCAATGGGAGCATATTAAGAACAAGTATTACTTTCCTTGCTTTTTTCCCCCTGGACATTCCACAGACATTTACATGTGATGCAAGAGAGATTGCTAACTTACACCCAGACGAGGTTACAAAAATTAAGCTGTATCCTTCCTCATTGATCCCAATGGCAAAAATCACATAGACTGAATTATGAGGTAGGCTAAATAGGAGATCTTGCAGTGCCACTTTAAAAATCATCATTAGTAAACCCTAACCAAACCAGTGCAAAACTGTAACCTTTGTCAGCTGTCCTGTAAGTATTAAAGACAGAACCCTGCTGTGAGGTGGCAATAATGGGGATAGTGTGCAGCAGCTGAAGCCAGTACCTTCAAGTGCCCACTGCCATAAAAGAGAGACAGCACTGAGGAAACAGAATTAATAATACTGTAGGGCTAGCGTAAGGATGTGGGTAAACAACTAAGGCCTTATTGCTTTTGAACAGCAATCATTGACCAATTGAAAAACAAATCAAACCATCAGTTTCCATTTGCCATCATACTCAGAATGGCAGAGGACTGTATGTGCTACAGAAGTAAACCTTGAGACACACACTGAAGATCACCTGGGAGAGGGGGAAAATCCCATACAAATCTGTGTAGCGCAGACCCTCACATTTTAAACCAGAAAACTCCATAATTCACAAGTATTGGAGAGGTTGGACAAAAACAGTAACAAAAACCCCACAACAACCCCCCCCAAAAAAAAAAAAAAAAAAGGCAATTTTACACTTAATGCCTTGAAGGAGGGGCAAGACAGAAATGGGTTTGTGAATCATCCTAAAAGTTTTGTTCTGGAAGATCAGAGGCATAAAAGGAGAGCAGAGGACATCATCTTAAGTTCTGCATTCTCTCAACTTGTAGTAGGCCACTACTTTTCCTCTGGGATCCATAGATCCCTGAAGGAGGTTAAAGGTAAACTCTAATAGTCACCAAAAGGTAAATAAAGTAGCAGAACCATTATTTGTCTGCTTGTAATTGCTATCCACACCTTCTTTAGAAAATATTTTGGGCCCCATGTACTGAGACTGCTTGAGATGCAGTGTTGTTGCCATACCACACTCATACTATACACAGATCCAAGGGCCAGGAGTGAGCCCAAATAAAATGACCACAGGATCTCTCACAATCATTTTCTATTTCTCAATTTAAGAGAGGAATCAAATTTCTTCCAGTGAAGATATTCTCATGCATACTTTATTATATCCTCAAAAGTATGTAAAAGATTTTCACAACATACTTTATACTAATTGAGAATGTTGGGCATGTTTTACCCTCTTAAGAAAAACAAAAGGAAACGAGCTCTTAAGTTAATAAACTTGCTAGTTGTCAAGCAAGAGTTCATAGAAAGACTGGCATTAAAGCTACTGATCATCCGAATACACAAATAATTACAGTTTTGGCTTTGTACTTACCATTTTTTTGGCATGTTCTTCGCACAGAGGTGTCTGATGTGTAATGTCAAAAACTGGCACAGAGCACTGTTGACCATCTGCAAACTTGGCTGTGCAACTTGAGAAGAGCTGTTGAGAACGGTTCAACAAGATATCTGTGCATTTCTGCATCAGGAATAACACATGAGGCAACGATGGAGGAACGCCCTTTGATTTATCAATCTGATGAAGATCAGAGCCTTCAACTCTATCTGTCCATAGATGCTATTTTTAATGAGTACCTTAACTTTGTTACTCAAGTTCAAAGCTAGGTAAGGCTCAAACCCAACTTTTAAAGTGAAAAACTGCATTCATGCAGAATCTCTAATGATTTTATTATATAATGAGACAGTTTTATAGAAGCAGCCATTTCACTAATGAGTTCTTAGCAAAAAGAAGCCTTTTCCTGGAGTCTTAATCAATAGATCAATAGTAGCAGCTGGAACAGTGTAGTCAACAGGACTATTTCCTTACAGACTAATGACAATCCATACTGAAACATGAAAGAAAGAGTATTTCTTAATTCAATCCTTTAAGGTACATTCTTGGCATTTATCTTTAGAGCACAGACAAAGAAGTTTCAAGATCCTTCCTGCTCCTCTGAAAAAAAGATGTGCAATCAGACAGAAAGGTCAAGTAAATCCAAACGTAAGCTTGCTGAGATTTCCTTCAGAAAAATCCCTTGCAGGAGGGAAAATGTTTCCAGACTTACAGCAAATCAAACAGATATTTCATTGTGTTTTTTCAAACAACATTAGAAGCACTCCTTCCATCTTGAACAGTTCTCAGACCTCAACATCACTATGTATGTTGATAAAATGTTAAAACGTAAAAGAAAGGACAAAGAAAACGGAAAACCTGCAGAACAATCCAGATGGCAGACTTGGACAGGTGGGTCAGAACCAAGAGCCTGTTCACTTTAGGGAGACTGTTTCCATTGAGAAGAAAGTGCAGAGGGAAAAAAGGTCACAAATGCAAAATCACTAGGTCTTGACTTCTCTGCTCTATGCACACCAACAAGCAAGAGCGTTTAAACTTTAAAAAAAAAATTAAAAAAAAATTCAGAGTCATGATGCAAATCCCAAACACAGCTGCACACGGTGGTGCTCACAGAGAGGTTTTGAACCGCTCTGCAGACTACTCTTAAGGGGCCTGCAAAAATCAACCAACAAAAACAAGGTATCTGCAACCCAAAAAGATTGACAAGGTGCCGCAGGCTGATAGCAACTGGAACAGATCAGCACTAGTCACTTAAAATACCAAACCTAAAAGCTCCAATAAAAGGAGTCACTTCAACAAAGCATCAACAATTCTTCAGCTAAAAACAAAAAAGACAAAGTCTGCAGAATTCTTAAGCATTCCAGGTCAGAAGTCTGCCTGTTTATAGTCTCCAGAATCAAACCTCACATGTAATGCTCTCCCCTCATTTTTGCAATCTTCATGCATTGACTCTTAACATCTTTTTCAGGCTCTGCTTGAAATCCCAAGCACTGGGAATTCTTCCTCATCTAGAATATGGATTCTGTGACTCCTTCTATTCTGCTTCTTTAAACAATGCAAAGTATCAGATTTTATACTAGTCTTTCTAGTCAGTGTAAATCATGTCTTTATACTATGTGTAAAAACTTGTTCCCATAAACCCTTCATAGGGAGGTAGTCTATTGGAACCTACCAAGAACTGTATCAAAGCCATGAGGCCGAAAACCACATGATTTGTACCAAATCATCCGTGAACGATGATTGTTTTTGTAAAGGCTTCTTGCACCCACTAAATACATCTTACAAAGTAAAACGATGTGACTATAATAGATACCAGTGGGAAACTGCTTATCTTCACTGTCTACAGACCCAAATCACACAGACAAATTAAAAGCAAAGTAGTTGATGAGACACTAACAAATAGGTATTTCTTTGTAAAAATGTATTTGTCAATGCAAAAACCTAACAAACAAAAAACTCTAAAACAGAACAGCTTCCACGTCTGAATGTAACTCCCAAACAGAGTTAAGAGGATACGCTGGAAACAATGCCTGGTGAATGGAAGGGCCTTGTTAGTGCACTGTTCTCCCTTTGAAGTCCCACTACAGGTTGTTGGTTCTGCATCTCTCTGCCTTGCTTGGCTTGTGCTGAAAAAAAAGCATAAAAGAGTTTAGAACCAAAAACCCGGTCTCAGGCGGTTACTTAGCACAACTATTGCACCGAATGTGGCACAGTAGGATGAAAAATTGTAACATGTGTGTGTGTCATGATCCTGATGGGTGCACACTACTACCAGACTCTACACAGGGATACAGAATAGATGTCAATGACAGGTGAAGGTGTGACTGCAGTAACAGGATTATTGTTTATTTCACAGGGCCTTAATTGTAATGAGAGGTGCTGTGTGCTGCTACCATGTAAATATTACAACACCTTGCAACAGAGCCAAGGACAGCAGTAGGTGAGCGTCAACACAGGTGACCCTGAAAATAAGGTCAATCTTTAGAATACAATGTATTGGGTATGCCTATATGGGCAGTCAAGTGCACTTGCAAGCCTGTTCATAAATCAAAACATGCCGAGCATCCCCAGAGCTTACATGCAAGCATGTGCTCAGACAAACTTAGACTGAGCTCTGGAGCGGCAGACCCTGAGCGTGCTCAACATGGGTAAAAGCTCTCCTTCATCAACGTGCTACAGCCCAATCCACCAGCAGGTGCCCGGAGCTGAGCATTTCCTCAGCACAGTCTCAATGCTTTGAGTCTGAGCTGCAAGCAGGCAACCAGACAGCAACGTGGATGAGTACTGCAAGCGTTACACAGCTCGCTTGGTGTTAGCCTGCTCTTAAGGCATTTGTCACCTTCATGTAGATAAAGCTGGTGATTCCAGGGCTGGCTTTCACCTCTGTACACGTTGTTTTCTAGGTTGACAAAAAGCTGCCTGTAGCCTGACTGTTTTCCTTCAGCCATTTCTGTCATCGACCGCACTTTGACTGAGCAAAATTTTAGTTAGCAATAATACTTCTGAGAAACATTTCATAACTGAAAAGACTGTGTAGTTACTTAAATTAACCACAGCAGTGATGACAGGCATACCTGGCTTTGTCAGTCTACCCAAAACAACATCATCTTTGCGTAACAAAAGGCAAAAAAATGGGGAAAAAAAACCAACAAGAGCTCGCCAGTTCTGGCAAGGTTTTGCTGTAGTTTAAGTTTGGAGACATTCACACAACTTCATAAACTAGTAATGTACCTCTACATTACACCTCTGAGCAGCTCTTCAGCACCACTCCACCTCCCCAAGAATAAACCCTCCAACTGTCATGAACCACAGCCCTCTGTCCAGGAACAAAAGCATCCCATAACCAGAATATACTCTCCCTGCTCCAGTCTGCTTCTCATGTTAGAACCCCCTACCCCCTACAGTGACACATCCTGTAAAGCAAAACCACTACAGCAAAAGGATGTTGCTGATACCCCAGACATAATGCCAGGGTTCAGACTTACTCTGTTCCTGCACAAATATGAATCAACCAGCTCTCAGTATGCCAACAGCTGGAGGGATGTTGACATTACCTAGAAAGAATTCCCGCAGAAGGTAACCTTCAGAGTTGTTTGAAGATACTTATTTTGTTGCCAAGTTTCTTTTAAGATTAGATTGAGTTAAATCTAACAAAAAGCATGAGTTTAAGTTTGATTTGCTGGGAAGATAATTAAGAGGAGGTACAGACTTTTCAAAAAAAGCTGTCAGAAAAACAAAATCTGAATTGAAGCAGTGAACTGCAGATAAGATTGCACACTTTGTAAAGAACTGGGCTTAGTATAGCATCAGATATTTGAAGGCAGACAAAGTACATAGATTAATTAATAAAAATAAATTTTAGCAGGCTACTAACTCTTTTTGTAGCATTTAAGAAATCGGGCCCAGATACTGCTGAACAAATGATGCACATTTTAAAACACAAAGCTGGAGAATGCCTGTCTTCATGGAAAACACTGTATGCCATGTTTTATTTCCTTCTGCTGACAGGCATTTGTGTCATGGTTTTTCTGCCTTGTGCATGCCTACCAGTTTCAGAGTTCAGCATTTCAGCTGCTGGATACTCTGCCCATCTCCACCCTGTCCAGACCTGGAGTTACTGTAGTCACAGGGGAAGGTCTAACCTCGTATGAGCACACGTAGCTCTTCGAAGTTCTTGTATCAGTTGCCCAGCACGCTCCGGCTCTCTGCTGGCCGCCTGCAGCAAGGCTTTCCGGAGTGTATGCCGGCATTTCTTCTGACGAGATTCTGCCCGCTCCAGGCGGCAGAGGTGCTTGTATTTCTGCTGAAAGTAAGTGCAAAGTCTGGTCACCCTGGAACTCCTGTCATCTGCATTGTCATCATCGGACCTGAAGGAGGGAAAATAAAAACAAATGGGCTTTAAGTTTGGGGTTTTTTTCACGGAAGCTAATTTGTCATTTTAATAGAATTGTTAAGCTGGCACCCATCTTCTAGCTCGACAAACATCCAAAGACTGAAATGATGCTTGAGAAATGGTAAGAGCAGGATCTCTTTTGAATTCTAAAGGTACTTACCCTTCTTAGTATGTCATTATTAGAGATTACATCAATTTATCATCAAGTCTGACACATTTAAATGTCTGGAGCCTGCTGTTCAAAAAAAAATCTATACTGTTAACCTTTATTTACTGTAAATGTCTCAGCAAATGAGACAAACTCTTAAATCAAAGTGCAATTAATGGAGAGGATAAGGGTGGGGAACTATGTAGTGGAAATTTATTGAAGAAAGGTCACGCTGGAGAAGATGGTCAAATTCTAGCAAGTACCAAAACTGCTCGCTTTTTCCAATTCCTTTTACTGTGCCAGGTGGTGTATTCCTTTCTAAGCCGAAATACACACTAACACAGCTAGCAGTTGATACTGCTTTCCTGTTGTCACAGAGTTAAAGTTGAGTTACAGTACAACCACGGAGAAGAAATTCACATTTAACTCCAAAGGTACTGAGGGAAAATCAGACCTGGGCTAAGCAATGACCAGATGAAGGATTAATCCAATTCTTTGTTTCCTTAAGAAAGCCATTTCCCATTTATCTTGGCTTTCTGAATGTCCAGGCACATATCAACAAGACCACCAAACCACGTCAACACATTCAGTTAAATGAAGTAAAAATCATGAAACATCATAAAATTGTCATTAGGACTTCTTAAAACAACAAGGTCCATCAAGCTACCCAGAAGTCCTCCACAGCAAGCACTAGTTTGCAAAATGATTTTTTTGTTCATGGAGCAATAAAGAGTGTACACTGAATCTAAGCAAAGCACATTTCATTCAGTTTTTCCTTTAAGTTTTTCCTTATGGAACAGAGAAACTTTTTGCTAACTTTCTTATCTGTAAAACAAAGGAAGGGCAGGGGGAGTAAAACAAATCCAAATAAATGAAGCAAATCAAAAGCTCCCAAGATTCAGACTGCAGAGCTTGGCCAATGAGATTGAATGAGCTGACATCCAAACCTGTGCACAGCAAAGCAGACCACAACTAGTTGATGATAGAAGAGATGCAAAATACCAGCCATGATATTTACTAAATAAAGTAAGATCCAGAAATGCAGGCAGAATAGCTGTCCGTGAAAGGCAATACAACTAAGACCTACTTTTCTTTCTGGGAACTCTTATTCTATACACACGCAGGCCAAATTTAAGAGACTGCATCCATCTCTGCTAAGGCTGCCCACAAAAACTCTGCAGGAGCAAACACTGCCTTGACACAAATGCACGTTTTCATAAAGCGTTATACAAAAGTCAACCATACTATGTATTTTGTTCTTTAAAACAGATTACAGATTATTTTCTACAGCATAAATTACAAGTAATTAACCTCTGCAATTAAATGCTTGGCAGTAAATACAAACTGTTAAAAATATTTAACATATGTAATGTTTAAAATCTTTTCACTTTGAAAATGAAAGGGAAATATGCTTTTAAGATCTCTTAGGAGAGAATGCCTACTGGGAAAAATGACCTGTTTAAAAAAATTTAATTGTGTGCCAATTAATACAGATTTACCTTTTTCCAATGTCTTAATAGAAAACAGGAACACATGGATGGGATCAGTTAGATACAGGTAGGTTTAAGGTCTTACATGTTTCATTACTGCTCTGGGACAAGATTTTTAAACAAAGTTGCAGACATACTGATTTAATTTTTAAAATGGTTACAAATTAACTTCAAGAAAAGACAGGAATATTCCTTAGGAAAAATAAGTGTTTCTTTTGGGTGGAAAGAGTTTTTCTTAATTCAAATGTGTCTATATTTGAGACTTTTTACTTCCCTCCCATTGAAACAGACAGAAAAAAGTCATCATATGTTAAAATATTTTGAACTGCAGTTTATGAGATCATATTAAAAAAGTAGATGATGACATAAGATACAAGATGTAGAAAGAAATCATCCTTACAGTGGACAAGGGCTTATTTTGAGGCAAACAGTTTCTAAAAGCCTATTCAAAATTTTGTTTCCAGGCCAGTAAGATTAACCACAACGTATTTATATGTTCAAAGAAACCTACAAATATCACAATAACACCTGCTTATTTTTTCCCCCCACTAGGCAAGTACTGAAACCAAAAGGTACTTTTATTGTCCTTTCATAAACAAGTTTACCAACTTCTATTTATTTTATTCTCTTAAGCTGCATACGTAACTTCTGAAGTTCAACTTAATGTGTGGTATTTCATTTTTTAAAAGATTTCTGAAAGTGCACGCAAACCATTTGATAATACAAAACGCTTCTTCCCAACCCTTCCCTTTAAGATTGTCATGTGTAAACATCAGGGGAATTATTGCTGAGTGTTTATGAAGAAAACAAAGGCAACACGAAGCAGCAGAAAGGAAGAGCAAAAGGGTAGCGCGAGCAGTCAGGCACCATCAGGGAACCAGAAGAACATCCTCTCTGCTCTGAGACACCCCAGCAACTGTACTTCAAAACCCTTTGTAAGAGGGGAGCTGAAGAACCTTCCCTTCTTCCTTTTAGTTCTTCTAGTTACTGGGAGTTATTAAATCCAACTTTGACAATACACCGTTGATATTTGCTCCTTTGAGTGAGCTGGTATGAGGAGGGACTCCAATCCTCACACTCCCATTTCAAACTTGCTACTTGAAACGCTCACTTTAGCTATATTTCAGTGTGAGAAGTGAAAAATTACTTTGTTTTAAAGTCATTTGTTTTCCAGTACTTTCTAAACTGCAAGACCCAGTAATCGAATCATCCCAGGGGGAAGCTTCACTAATCTGCAGCAAAGAATAGGCCCTGCTTTCCCTCCAAATCACTGCTCCCGCAAGGAATTCCTCACACCCCAGCAGCCTTCCCTCCCAGCCACCCTGCCTGCACTGCGCCCAGTGCCAACTCCTGCGCTCCTATTTGAACTCAAACATTTGTGCCTGCCTCCAAGCACTGCATCCCAGAAGCCTGTGACCACAGGAACCCCATTTTTCAAAATTAAAAGGACAGAATAATAAAAGCAAACATTTGGCTTGTGTTTCTACCGATGATTGCAACAATAAGATTTTTACAGATTAAAAGGCCATAAGTCAAGTGAACTCAAAAATGCATTGCTATTAAGACATTAACTTTAAACAATTCTCGTGAATTTTTGAGAGTTTAAGAGCAGCTAGAGTATGACACAAGAACCTCAACAGAAAGTTAGAGGATTCCCCCCACAGTCATACAACCAGAAATGCTGGGAACGAGCTATCTTTTACTAATCTCTTCCGAGAAGCATCCCTCCTGCTGTCTTTCACGAAGTCAAATGAAAAAGGACAGAATGCAGCTAGCTGGTGGAGAGTTATCCCTTTCACACAGAGACCGCAAGCTTAGACACAAATGAACAGAGGAAAAAATAGCTTTAATTTTACTATGAAAAACAGCATGTAAATTCCCTTAAGTTTAGGTACACGATTTCAGAATCTAAAAGTACTAGGAAACAATCTCCATTGTTTTTCTGGTAAAATTAGCCTCCAAAATTCAGAGCCACACCAAGTCATTGGCTGACTAAGTTAGGAGCCACTAGTCTGTACCACCAAATCAGCAAGACAGAGTCATTTTGACAAATCAACTCATCCAAGAAATAGTCTGAACTAATTCATCTTCATCAGCAGACAGTCCACATTGCAAAAGTGTCAAAATGAAACATTTCAGGTAATAAAAACCTCTACAGAAGCTTGCAGAATAGGAATTAAAGTTTTAGAAGGCTGACATCAATTGAATATATCAATATTTATCCACAAACAAAATTAGGAAAGTTGTTGAAGAACTAACACTGGGCAGGCTGATGGAAGTACAAAAGCAGCCAGTACCATACAAAAATTTATCCATCATGATTAGTTAAGACAGTGTGTAACTGAAATGCATAAAATGCTAGAATGGAACAGAAAATGTCAAGACAAGGCATTATTTTCTCTCAGCATGTGAAAAAAGTAGGAAGAATCCAAAGGAAGTTAAGACAAATAGAAGACAAAACACACAGAGATGACCTTTACAAGTTGACCAAAAAAATAGGGATCTATGGAAGAACCAGACCAAATGTCAAAGAGAGAATAGTGTAAGGGAAGTTATTTAATAGACATATCTGCTTTTAAAATCATGTATGATTTAAAAGCCTGAAAGTCTGTTCATGTTTTCCCAAGACAGTTTATTTAAAAGTTGCCTTTTAACTTAAAAGTAATGTTGGTGAAAGCTCACTCTCTCTCTGATGGCTGATGCCCTAAAAAACAATGGTCATTCATAACAGAAAAAAAAACAAAAAAACTTTCTTTTAAAAAAGAAAAATCTCCACATTGCTATTAAGCTTTGATTCACTGAAGGCTCTCAGTATTTAGTATCCTGGTGTCTGTCTTGATGAGAGATACAGCTTTGTTGTTCACCACGTGAACAATCTTTAGAGATGGTCAGAAGTTCTGGTAAGTTTCAGAATTTCCATGTAACAGCAAAATAAAGTTTCATTAACATCATTACTTTGTGATATTTAAAAATTAAACAAATGGGAGAGAGTTGTAGTATCAAAAAGTTCAGTTGCATAGTGAAAGAGAATCACGTTATAGACACCATAACCAAATTTTACTGAGACCCTAATTTCCTTTTATTGTCAACATGCTTCAGTTTCGTTGCAATACTATGCTTGGGATGCTTTGCTTTAACTTTGCAACTTAAAATTTATATTAATAGACATATATTATCATATCCTCCTGTAAGTTCAGATTCATGACCTAGCAGGATATGGAGAACACCATAAGCCTTTCTGCACCAGCAGTTAACACCTGCTGTGCTTATCCCTTCAATGACACTTCCTTTTCAATGCTCCCAACTATTTGACAGAGGTTTATTCAACACTTAATTATGAAAAGAAATGCCATGCCCTTTAAAAAAACACATTAAAACAACATCCTGCACAATTACCATAAGGTAAAGTAAAATGTAATAAGTTTACTAACAAAGTTATTCACAAATAGTAGGAAAGACAAGAAACCAATAGGAACTCCCTTCATTTGGTTCTAATTCAGGAAATACCTCTACTCAGCAAGGCACACAAGTTCATGAATAAATCCCACTAAACTCAATTAATCTTAGGCAAATAAGCTTAAATTCTTTCCTGATGCATCCTTCTGACAGCAGACTGCACAAAGGTCTCTAAGTTACGTGGAAACTGGGACAGAAGGCAACAAGCTGTTTCATAGCTGTTACAAACAAATGAGTTCAAACAATCCTTTGTTTCAGTAAAGCACTTGAACAAGTGCTTAGGTTCCACTGACTCCACTTGAAGCAAAGCTCACATTTACATGATTTATTCCATCAAGGCCAGCATGAATACTAAAGAATCATACTCACTCATGTCTCTCATAGCCGAGGGTTTCTCGGATAGACCACGCAACCTGGTATGGGGAGGTCTGCTCTGAATCCTCCAACTCTTCTCCACTGTCTTCAGACCAATCCAGCCCTAAGGGAATTGAAAATATGAAAGCTGGATGAAAAGTGTATCCATCTCATATAAGTCTCTGAGCAACCTATGGCACAAAAGATGAATGTGTAGTATAGTCACAAGCATAATTATGTTTGATTAAATCATATCATATTCTCAATTAGACAGGAAAAGTTGCAGTAACAGTTCCATTACAGTGTGCAAATAGCACGCACTGATTTTTGTCAAATTTGAGTTTTCCTTTTAAAATCCTTATTGGCTTCTTTATCCACAAGCAGTGGAATAAATATCACCAGCTTTCTTACCCACAGAAAAATATTACAGCTTTCATACCAAACACATGGAATCTTTAGATGCGAAGTACAAGAGAAGTCCCTGGCACAAAGAACTGACTGCCTGTTAATTTTTAATACTGTATGATCTAAACAGGCCATTTTAATTTCTGATTATATTCTGACCCCTGCTCTGTGCCAAAACACAAGGAGAATAGGAAAACCGTAAGACAGAGGCAGTATGGGCATAGATAGATACACAGCTACACAGGATGTTCCTCTGCTCAGTCTCTGTAATTGCCTGCCAAATGCATACATTAGCATAAAAAGAGAGCTAAAGGGAGAGATGCAAATGCTCCTGCACTTTTACTAAGCAGCATGCTTTTGCTTAATGATGATGCAGTAGGATCAACTTATTGTATGCCCCAGCAGCCTCAGTTAGTCAAGCTAAACACAATCGTTGACCAGGACAGCCAGAAACAGAGTCCAGTAAGTTCTCAGGTGGAACATCTTATCTGGAGCTTCACCTTCTGTAGTTTTTCCTACTGTCCCTCCCACATCCAGTGGAATTCTTGTCAATTCCTTGCAGTAGGTGGGATAAAATCCCGTAGCTGCATTTACAAGCCAGCATTATTACTTTTTCACTTTCTTGTGTGCTCCTTGAAAATGGAGCAGCAGTTGGGATAGAGTTAAGCAGCACTTTATTTTCGCTAAAAACAAACTAAATGGCTGTATCTGAGATGGTTCTGAAGTCAGAGGCTTTGAATTTGTGAAATGCATCAATACTTGGGTCACCTACTTTCAGAGTTAGACACACACACACACACGCTTGGAATACAATCGTCAGGAGTGCCTTCATCATTTAAAAGCAACACTTCAACATAAACCAGAAATATCAGAAACCCTATTTTTCAGGAACTTCAGCATCCTGAAAATTCTGATCTTCATTCCTATTTTTAAGACATGCATTTGAACTAAATTAAGATATCTTAAGACATTTAATAAAGTGCCAGAATTATACTTTCAACTTAAATGTTTGGTTTTTTTTACTCTCACCCCTTCCATAAAGAAATGAAAAAAACCAACTAAATCATTGGATAAAGGTATCAACAATTGACATCATGTAACAAATTATCTCCCCAAAGTTTAAAAATAAAATTAGAGGTTGCATTGTTTGCTTCTAATGGGCACTGTAGATATTAAGGAATAAAATCTAATCCAGATTCAGCTATACTCACACTGAAGAACGCAGTTACATTAATATCCAATTACATGGCTCTGATGTAGGTACACATAAAACTGGCTGCATCTTTTTAAAGATTCTTTGCAGTCATCTCTACTGCAACTCTATCCTAAAAAAGAAATCCTGAAATTCTCTGCACTGGTGTAAGCAATCTTTAATAGTATAAATAAATGACAAATATATTTTCCACTCTCACATAATTTATATATTAATTCCATTACTTTGCCAAATATAAAATGTTCTAATTGCATACACATACAGTTTTGTGTGTGCATAACTGTACATTTATAGGTCTAATCAGTTTTCTTACTATGCCTCTTTTTCAGGAAAACGTATTCTCTTCACCACTTGAGAATGTAAAACATTAAACACAGAAAGTGGTCTTTGTATAGTCTTTCAAAGCGCAGGTCACTTTCTAAGCTACTGGGGTCTGTGACACTCAGAAGTGCCTCTGGAGTTGCCAGTCCTCAAAAGACCTGCATTATATATAGGACCATCAAAGCAGTTTTCTGAAGAACAATGTCCTTTGGAGACATGCTATGGGATGCTAATTATCTTCTGAACAAATAGACAAGCTATCCCATGAGTGCCAAAGGGCAGATCTTAACAGCAAATTAAAAAGAGGTTAATTGAAACAGCAAAAATTACAGATGTTTGCAATTAAATAAGATGTTATACGAAGAACGTCCAGATTTATTTGAAGTCTTTTTTTTTTAAAAAAAACCCATAAATGTCATTCTTGCTCTAATATCACACAGTCTCATCTTTCCCTTTTCCACGCCAGTACTTTACTTGTTAGAAAAGTACAATCTAAAACTAAGCAGAAAAGTAAGGTAACTTTGGAGGATGAGGAAGACAAGGACAGCTAGGTGTACCTAGGACTGTATTCATAATCAGACAAATAAGCCACAAGGTCAGCTGCCTTTTTAAAGCTTTACAGAGCACTACTACCACAGCAGAAAGTTGGTTATATTTACTTACATTTTCACAAGCAGCAATTGATTGTTACAGTTTCTATATAATAAGTGAGCAGGAGATTATCCCTGCACTGACATGTGGACAAGACTCCACCCCCCAATTACCTTCTGCAACAGTACTGCCCTCCTGCAGTAGTCTTTGGCTTTTGTTCATCCACTTCCTGCACACGAATAGGCCATCAAGAAAAATTCTCTTGTGCTCCAATTTTCCCAGTCAACGGGAAATTTGGATCTGCAGAGAATGATGGGCTAAAACTCCAAACTTTTATTTGCACTCATGTTGTAACATGCATTTGTCATATATCAAACATCCAATCTAACCTTGTCCAGTCATGTAGGTACAGCTGGCACCACCTTTACTACTCAAGTTTCAAACCTTCTATATGATGTCTGTATCATCCAAGTAATGTTTTCTATACTTTAGTTTGATTTCTCAAATGGTTAACAGAACATTAAGAAGAATAAACAACCAAAATGCCATAAACCATATGTGATGGGTCCAGGCATTCCCTTCACATAGAGATTACCTAGTTTAGGGTTATTTTGTAAGGATCATAGAGGAATGCAGGACAGGGCTAGGAAGACATTCCTCTTTTGTCTTTTGGTTTCAGGTTAAAAAATAAGGTGGCAATGCATTTATTATCTACCCACCTAAATGTGGAAACAGATCAGTGTCCAGCTGCTGTTTTCGAGTGCACAGTTTCACCAGTCTCTGTAGCCGGCTCATGCAGGACGAGTGCGGAGAGAAGGCTGTGGCTTTCATGAGGACCCGATCAGTCCTTGGAGGGTCTGTGACAGGAGCCCTAGTGGGTGGTAGGAGAGGCAGAGGTCTCTTGTTAGACAACTGCCGGGCTTGTGCTATAGTGTGTGTGGTGGGTGCCACTCCCTGCATTGGTAGGCTGGTGTTCAGAGGTTGAGGTGACTTGCAGACTACACCCTGCGATAGCCCTGTCGGCTTTAACGAAGCTGATGAAGGTGGCAGATGGGAGTGCTGCTGCTGCAGAGGCTGCTGCTGCAAAGGTGCAGGAAGGGGGCTAAAGTGCTCTTGGCGAACTTTTAAAATCTCTGTCTCTCTCTGGCGCTGCCGGTTTTGAGCCAACTTGCTCTGCAACTTTTTCCTCACCGTTGCCCCTTTCTTTAGGTCATCATCCTCCTCATTGAAAGCAAAGGGGTCTTCTAATTCTGCCTCCAGGTAGTGGAGAGGAAGCCTAGCCCCTGGAGGGGAAAGGGACATCCCATCCAGTCCATTGGGCATCTTCAAGGCCAGGGTGGGCACTGTCAGACTGAAGGCCATAGCATCCATCTGATGCCTGACCTTTACCTCCTCTATGGGATCATTCTTTTTCTTCCTCTCCTTTTTCGGTATAAAGCCAAGTACCTGCAGGTGGCTGTTGCAGTACCTTTGAAAAGTAAAAGCAATCAGTTATTAAATCAACTCTTGTAAGTAAAATCTCAAGAAAACAGACATCACTAAAGGAAAACCCACACACACTCATCTCATGTGAATATAGATCAAAACACGAGGTTTTATAAGAAGTGTACACAACTGCTTCTAATAGAACAGATAACAGTGGTGTTCCCAACCTGTAACAGAAAACAAAAACTTATACAAGTGACAGTTTGTAATTTTAAGATATAAAAGTCTTCATTCATTATTTATAGGAGATTCACACCCAACCGTTCAAAATATTTACTCTCTTACAGGGTAAATACTCAACAAAACGAAGTGAACAAAACAAATGGACTGTCTGATTCACAAAGCCATTAAGAACTTAAGCCATTAATTCTGATCATTTCAAAAGCTCCCAAGAAAAACCACATTTAAGACTACTTCCTTTCATTTGGCTGTTCTTTCACTGCAAGAACGGTCACATTATTATTACGAATTCCACTGCAGTAGGGAGCATTTTCTTATATGGACAATCCCACTAGAGATACCTGCTGAGAAGGGTCACTATTTGCACTTAATGAACAAGTAGCATAAATATTTAAATTCTGTTTCAGTAGTTTAACATGATGAATTTTGTAGCCAGAGGATTAGCTGAATATTCTTCAAACCAAAATCTAGTTTAAAAGAAATTCTCTGCTGCTAGAATATGTTTACACAATGCCAGGAATATGTATACATACAATCCACAAACACGGATTTTAAGCTCTTCTAATAGAAAAAAGCTTTTAAAGTCATGTTACTAAAAAAAGAAAAAGAAAAGTCTTTGAAAGTTTGTCATGAAAATTACGAGGAGAAGAGTTACAATTTATAGCCACAGATAACATAATAAGAAGTAAACAACTAATTTTTGTCTGATTAAAACAAGCATGTGTTAGAAATGTAGGAACCATGATCTGATCCTTTTCCTGTTTCACACAGGCAGGCCCTCCTGCCTCTGTAGAACGCCACCAGCAATCAGACTTCTGCCCTTGCAGGATCCCATCTATAACCTGCAGCTTATAGAAGAAAACAAAGATATGTAGAGTGATGTCTACATCAAGGTATTTATGGACAAGATAATGAAATACCCATGAAGGTACTCTTTAAAATCTGATAAGTATGCATCTGAGAAAAGTAAGTTTTGTTGAACCAATAGGTTAAAATGAAATTATTCCTAGTCTTCATGGAGAAAAAATAGCAGAAAAGCCCAAACCCTAAGAAAGGTTTAACACTTCAGTTTAGTGACTTTCAACTTGTCAACTCACCCCTAAAGAAGCAACGTGTGAACTGCTTCTAAAGGGTCCACAAAAGGTAAAAAAGGAAATTCATATATGCTCCTTAATGATCTCCATATACGCAGCTTCTTGAGGGACCCACATGCATAAGGATTCATAAATCACAAAAGGCTGAAAAGTACCACTACTTCTTATTGTCTAAATAATTTTTTATTACATTAAATTGTAAGTAAGAAATAAATCTAGATGAGGCAAGCTGAAAGCCAGTAACATGTGGAGTCCTTATTAGAATACACTGGAATACTGTAAATTCATACTTAGACATGCACCTCTAAAAATAAAATTACATAATGAGGGCTTAATAAAGGTTCCCTTAAAGTCAACAGCATTATGCCTAATTAAAATTAAGCACTTTTAAAATATTTTGTTTGAAAAAGACTGAGATCAGTTACAATAGCACTTTCAGTATGACAGAAGAAAAAACAATAAACAGACACAACAAACACAAGGGAATTTTTTTCCCTTTTATTCCAATAAAAAGAAGAGTTTTGCTCAATGTGAATGCTTCCCTTATATTGTTCAGAACTTAAATATTGCCACCTTGTGCTTGTGCCAATGTGAGGAGGTAAAACTGGCTCGTCTGTTTTCATTGTGAAAAAGAGAAAGCAAAAAATAGAAAAGGTGAATAAACCTATGAAAAGGTAATAAACTTACTAACATTCTCTGAGTTCGAGGCTATTTAGGGTTTTGCTTGTTCATTTAACTCTAACAGAATCATTTTTATATGGCAGAGAATAAAGCTTTGGCTCTTACAACTGACCATACTGCATCACTGAAAACCAACTGTATTTTATGTAGGCATCACCTCTGGACACAAACCCATAGATCCAGGCCACAACACAATGAAAATATAGATCACATGTACTTGCAGACTCCAGTACATGTCTACTTTGCTCTGTGCTTTAGGCTCTGTCTATTAACACTCCATCTTTCAGCATAACCGAGGCTGATTACCTTGGACTAAAAGGAGCAAGAAGAAACTGGGAAGAGCACTTAAGTCTTCCTGGGCAGAGAAGACTACACGCAGGTAATTTTGGTTAGGCATAATTTATTAGGACCAACTCAACCTTGGCCTTGTCAGGCTCTAGCCAGTCCCACACGGAGCCAGGTAGGCACGCACACCAAGTTCCCCATCCTTCAGATTCCAGCATGGCTTTTTAGTTGGCCCTGGCCCAAACTGGCTCTGACTTTATGTGGTGCTGCAGAGCCTGGTGCAGACATTAACTGACTCTGCTGGAACCAGTCTATAACCAGCTGAGTTAAGGCACCAAACTCTTTGGATCAGATGTAATGCCAGGAAAGCTGTTAGTAGTTCATGCTCCATGGAAGACAGATTACTGGGAAAACTGGAATAGCACCAAGTAGCACAGACCCTTGCACATAGCTCTGAGCACGAAACCCATTAGCATCAAGCTGGCCCTACAAGAGTCAATTCTGATGTGCCTGCCTTGGTGGTTCATTTCGTCACTTCCATAACCTGCCTGGGAGTTATTCTCAGCCGACAGTATTACACCGAGTATCTAGTACAGTTTTTTCTCCCTTCCTTACTCAATGCGAAAGACAATTCTGTGCAGGTGAGGTCAAATGCAGTCAGCGCATATGGTAAGAGCAGTGGTTGATATCCATTAAAACTTTTTATAACATGAAGCATGCAAAAGGTGAGGGGCTCTGAAGGCTTCAGCTGGACAGTTTCCCACATCACTGGGAGGGCAAGAATCCAGACAGCGAGGTTTTCCACCTACAACTGCATTCTGCTTCCCAGTACATCCCAGACTAGTATTGAGTTCTGTCACTTATTTAAAGGAAGATCCAAATAAATTGGAGAGCATCTTGCATATTAACAAAATATTTGAAGATTGTCTTGAAAGAGGAAAATTAGAGGTAAACCCAGTTAAACTGTAATAACCCTATACTTAAAAATGAAGTTGAACTTCATTATCTATGTGTGTATTTGGATAAGAACTAGGAGACATGTATTCAGAGGAAATACAGATACAGAACCCATGTCTGCATTATCCCTTATATATTCTTTAAAAAGATAGTGAATAGAGAAACTAGACTTCAGATAAGGCAACGAAGTCATGCACTATTAATAGATTTAATTTGTAGAATGCTAATGATTAATAAGAAATCTAATAATATGGCAGCATATTAAACATCTTTGTGGCTGGTAGCATATCATTTGTCTGGGGTCAAGTAATAATTTTTTTTAATTATCTGTAGACAGACTATGAAGCTTTTGGCATATAATGCATGCATCCTGCTAAGACATTTTGGTTTTTATAATCTTTAAAAGTATATAAGAGCATAGCTGTTAGAGAATGATACAGCCTGCTTTAGTACAGTTACATGTCTAAAACTGTGACAAAATGACCATCTGACAGTAATTTGTACACAGAAAATTACAAGCTACGAGTGAACATCTCAGACATAGCAAACATCTTTATATCAAACAGAGTGTGAAAAAAGTCTCCTAAGAAACACATACAGGTTTGCCTGCCAAAAAAAAGTTTAGAGCAGGCACAGTCTTATCACTAGCATTCATTAAATTTTATTGTTAAAATTAAACTCTGCCCTGAGAAGCAGTCTTTTAAAATATTCTTTCAAACTATCACATCCTCACATTTGAAATTAAAAGTTTATTTTCTCCTTCAGACACCTGCTGTCCTCTTCAAGTACTGTAATGTGACACTCGACATGCAATTGAATTATTCTAATATAACATACACCAGATGTCATGACCACACTTCACTTTAACTTGAGAAAAATCAGAAAGAACAAAGTGTGAACTCAATTCAAGGTGTAAAGAAAAATCTCAAATTCCATGGGAACATATGAGACCTAAAAAGGTGTCATTAAGTACTATTATTTCTATTGTTTTTAAGTATGACCCCTGGTAAACAGCAACTCTGGCTCAGTCAGCTCTTGCATCTGAAATTACAGCATATCATTTGTGCTAACAATTTCCACAATCATTTCTGCGAGCTTATTTCCAAAGAGCCTCAATTGTACAGTAGCAAAGAAACAGTCACCGACTGTCAAATTACAGCTTAAAGTTATTCATCTTGTGCCATTTGAGCATTTGCCCTACAGCTTTTGACAAACATTCATGGTTTTTTCTCACTTCATCAGTCTCCTCAAGTGAAATGGCAGGTGAAGTGCAAGTTAATTTAGAGCACAGTCCAACTGTTGTTTCAGACAAGAGAGGGAGCTGTGAGCCGAGAAGGAAGTTATATGTAGGGCACAGTGGGAACACTGCTAATAATGCAAAAGGTTAGTGAATGGCAGCTAATAATGTGAAAGGTCAGTGAATAGTGGTTTGATTCTTTTTTTGGCATGTTTTGTTTATATTCTAGAATAAAAAAAATAATTTCTAACAGAACAAGCCTCAGATAGTTAACACACACATTAATTAAATACTGTGTTACTGGCAAAACCTGCAACAATGACTCTGAAAAATTAAAGTCATATATACCTGGCAGCCAAGATTAGACAAATTCTGCTATTTCAGCCCAAGCAACACCAATGAGACTGGTGTTCAGGAAGTTTTAAAGAGCAAGGAAGAATGTCCTTGCGGTTACAGTATGGGCTGCAATTCAGGAAATCTGGTTTGAATTCCCAGCTCTCCAACAACTTCAAGTACTATCTCTTGCAAGGCATTCAATACCTGGGCACCTCTGGCATCTTCGTTTGGGCAGGGACGGGGAGAGAAAGGGGGGAAGCAAGGAAGAAAGGGAGTAGACAGCACTTTCCCAGCTGGCTCATCTGTTATCAAGTAATGCTTATCTTATTCCAGTAATACAACACTACAGATCAGTACCAAATCACAAACACTGAATTGTAATTCTGGATTCGTCCCTATGTGTCACTGCTCCCTAAGCCCAGGAGGTATGCATTTTCAGCTGTTTGTCCTGAAAAAGCAGATGGAAGTGTGCTTTTGGCACAGCTGGCCAAACAAGCAGGCCTTTTTAAGAGCATGTACTGTGAGTGACAAAGCAAATTAATTACAGCAGCAGGTACTGTGTAGCAGATTTGATCCACAGTTTATAGTGAGTTTGAGAAAAGCAATGAACTCTCCCAAAAGCTTCCTTGGGAGTAACTTACTGCCCCTTTTCTGAGTACTTGACTCCCACAGAAAATAAAATAAAGTTTACTGGTCTTAAAACAAAACCCTCAAAGGAACATCCTGGAATTCAATCCACTCAGGCCAGTTCCCCTCTTATCCTGAAACCAGACAACATCTTAAAAGAAAACTCATGCCTATGTCCCAGCCACTTCTCACTTTGGAGATGGATAACCACAACTCACCTACGGTCCTCAGATTTGGGGATGGGGTTCGTGCAGCGTTGGCTGTTGTACTTGGCCACATATTCACATTGCTTGAAGGGGGCAGTCTTGTCCTCCAGAACGTGTCTGATACAGAAGGCGTAGCCGTTAAGTCGCCTCTGCTTGCACAGTTTGGGGCTATATGAGCACAAGGGCTTATTGTCAACTTCAGAGAAGTGTATGTGTTTGCCTTCATACATCACGTGACTCTATTCCTTGTGAACATCAGCTGAAAGAACCAAAACATTAAGACAAATCACATAAGGAAAAAAAATACATTCAGTTCTAGAATGTGTGTTTCATTTTGGCAGGAAAGAGGGACACAAAACAATACCTGATGTTAAATCTTCTGTACCATATCAATGTTAAGAGAGAGCCCCAAGGACACCACTATCCTGGAATGATGATGAATCAAGATGAAGCAGATTGTCTAATGAAAATACCAAAAAGATCACAGTCAGTCAGAATAAAATATATACTATTACTGCTTAATAAGTAAGTGGCCAGATGTAGTCACTAAACCTATAGTTCAGCTAGCATACAATAAGCCAAATCCACTAGCACAATAGTTTTCAATCAGTAGTCACAGATCTTTGGAAACCGTGAAAGGAAATTATTGAGAGGAAAAAAAATTCCACTGCCACCACACTTAAACTTGTTAAACAAAACTCTACCAATCTACCAGAAAGTGATTAGGAACAACAAGTTGAAAAAGGTTAAACATCAGATTAGATCACTTGCTTTCAGGAATCAAGTTGAATGATGATTAACCCATTTGATTGCAGAGGTTTTACTTCAAATTTTTCAATCTTTACTTACAAAAATGCTGGCAACTATCCTTGCTCTGCAAAATTTTAATTTAATCAGGCTGATGAACAGCCTTCAGATTTTGTAGCTGTCCACAGCTTCTGCAACCATCAATATGCAGTCCTTCCTGAGGTAATCATGGTTCTTCAGAGCTTTCCCTTCCTTATTGTACTTATTTTAGGCAAACGCGGACATTAATGTCAGAGGTAGTACTCCCATTGATGCCAGGAGGGCTAAAACGTCATTTCAGCAAGAGGCTGGGGTTTCCCTCCCCCCCCAAACCAGAATCCTACAGTGCAAATCCACAGAATCATAAAATACTTTTTAATTTCCCAACACTATGGAGTCTTTGGCAATCGCCTTTAAAAAAACAAACAAACAAATCAACCAACCAAACCCCACCCCAAAGTAGCTTCAAATAAAATTAACAGTACACATATTCTGCAGCTACTCTGCTAGACTGAGTTTAGCCTGCAAAAGGCAGCATTTATTCAGAAAGGCCATCCTGAAGCACTGGAATAAACCCTTTTGAACATGGTATATTCAGTACTCAGTTCAGTTTCATGTGTGTTACATACCAAGCAAAGGAATGTACATAGAGGTGATATTCAGGAAATATGTAACAAATTAGAGGCATGTGACAAATGTACAGACTACCACCTCAATCACCTTACTTGTTCCCAAGGCCTGAAATGGCAAGAACACAATTGCAATGAGGGAGTCTACACAGACTTTGCAGGAAAAATGCAGTTTCCTGTTGTGAAGGTACAAGCCTTCACTTTCCACTGTATAAAAGCACCTTGAGAAAATGGCAAGCACTATAGCACTGGGGGATCTAGAAAAGCAACTTTAAATCACTAGGGCAAAACAAAACACCCTATCACACCTCTAACAGTAAACTGTATAAACCAGGCCTTTCATTAGCATGTACCTAGCTGTAGAAGCAGAAGGACAGAAGACTACTACAAATTTTAAAATGCATTTAAAATTCTCAAAACAGTTGTATATGCACACATGCAGCATACACAGCATACAGAATAGAGACACGTGCTACAAAGCACAAGTGACCTGATTAATCATTTGACAATAACAAGGATCATTTCATATTTCCTCTTTATATACACAGTTCCCTTTCCATGCACACATGCAAGCACACAGCCCCAGGGGCAGGGGCCTCCTGCTTTGTTTACACCGGATAGCCACAACATGAGCACAGACACCTAATCCAGTTCCAATCACCCTTCCCAACTTCTCTCAATGCATGGAAGCACGTGAAAGTACGGAGTACATACTATATATATTTGAAACCAATCACTGGAATATGACCCTTCACAATGCATCAGTCTTAAGAACAAAAAAGTTCATTGTTGGCTGTGCCCTTCAAAAACACAGAATGGGAAGAGGGAACTACCTCTTATTTAGCATGCTGAGAACCAAATAATCCTTTCAGACACCTTGGTTAAGGCAGATACTGACATACACTTCAGTATTATTCAGCAACAACATGAAAGAAAAACATAAATCCCATGGTGACAAGCCCAGTTGTGATCTGGGTTTGAGTCTCACATGTTTGAGAGAGCGCCTCCTCTATTACTATGGCAGCAAAAGTAATCAAATGAGTCTTAACTAATTGCATCTCATACACACAACAAAGCCGACAGAAAGCCTTTTGCTCTGGAGTTTGCTTCTCTCGACAGTTAACCAAAGCTTGTATTTGGTGGTATACTGGACAGGATGAAAAACTTGAAAGAACAAGTGCATCTTGCAGTTGGGGTGACTCACATGCAGCTCTCTCTTTCTATTTACCATGTTCCTTTAAGCTACTACTATCATGCTTTGCAGTTTTTGACGGATCAATGACCTTCTCCTCTTTTGCACAACCAGCAACATTTCTTTTCTGAAGGTTATCGAGCAACAGACCAAAGAAAAAGAGTTCCTCAGAACGGTTCCAAAGTAAACAGCGAGAAATGCATACCTGGTGTGCCTCCGTTAAGCTTCTGTAAAGAAACTGCTCCACAGTTCCCAGCCACTATAATCCTGGATTTATTCTTGTGTCCCCAGTCTTATTTTTGGATTTAACTCATAATTAAGTCTTATTTTTGCATTTAACTTGACTGTGTCAAGGCAGGCATAGTATTTTACTTCTTACTTGTCTGAAAGATACAGGGCATAAGTACAATGCCATATGAAACATTTAAGCAAAAATACTGACAATAATTCTCAGGGAAACCAATGAGCTTGAACATGAATTTTTGGTTCTATATATACAGTAAGAGAAGCTCATGCAAATATAACCATGTTAAAAATCCTGATAGGAATCAGTTAGTGCAACTACAGTGCAAAGAGCAAAAAGAAAGCTAACATATCTAGCAGTCAATGTTACATAAAAAAAAAAACCTACAGCAACTCTCTCCAACTTGCAACTATATTTTTATCAGTAGATTCCTACACAGACTCCCTAAAAGACAGTGGCACTATGTGGACACACTGCCAGGATCAGAGACTGAAATTGTACTTAATCTAAAAAGAGCTTTTTATTTCCATAGCATACCTGATAGGTATACATACATAAAAAAACCAACAACAAACTTTTAAATCTATTGATTCTGATTTAATCTGATACAGTAGTTTATTTTGAACAAAATATACAAGAGTTCCTAACAGAGCTTTTTGCTGCTACATAAAAAGTAGCACAAGCATGGAATAGGCACATGTCACTTAACTGAAGAGAAACTAAACTACACTTAGCTAAATAGTGGGTGGGGGAGAAATTATTTTTGTCCCACAGGATTCAGTAAGAGATGATGGAAACATGGACTTCCCCTGGAAAAAATCAAATGCTTAAGCAGCCATACTTCACTGCAAAAATATCAAGGTACAAAACTTTCTGGAAGCTGTTTTAGGTTTTGCATTTATACTGTATATTGAAGCTGTAGAAAGGTTCAACAGAAACATAACTTACGCCTGCATATGCTCAAACTAGCTTTAGCCACAACCCATGATTGAGAAAACAGGGGCTGCTGCTTGAGGAACCTGGATTTTCCTTAAACAACTATTTCTAAACAAAAGATTTTGAGCTAGTTAGAAGAAACAGCGTAAAGAACAGAAGAGAATCCAAAAATGCGTGCCATTGCCAAATGACATAAGACACAACTGAGATTTAAAAAATCATGTTAGGGGGATAAGGCGAACATAGAACGGTCGTATACCATATCATACAATATTAGAACTAGGGGTACATAGACAATGGGGGCATAAGTGATATACCTGCTAGCATGCCTACTTTAACAAAGATGGATGGTGGAGGAATAAAAGAAAACAGTAAAAAGTGGCTGGGCATTCATGCTTTTCCTAAACAGCATCACTTACTCCTACTGCCCAAGATGGAACACTAGGTTGGACTGATCCCTGATCTGACCCAGCAGGGTATTTCTTACTTTCTTATGAGGTTACCACTAACACATGTAATTTGATAACACATTCATTTCTCCCCTTCTCCCATTTTTTCATTCCTGAGCAGTTGACTGCAAGAAAAACCCCTCCCTCTGGTGAAAGCCCTATCTGGACATGTGAAAAGCAACAAACTTAGCATCCTAGTAAGGCTTTATAGTAAGGACAGGCAGGACACAGAGCAAAGCCACACTGCAATATCGTCACTTAGAGCAGAGCTACTTGTCCTGCTGAGTGCAGCCACTGGTGGTCCATAAAACAACAGAAGGTGGTTTGCAAAGTGACCGTAAAAAGAGAAATTAAAGACTTAAATACACACAGGTACATACCTGCACAACTGTCAGTACCTGCTGTCAGGCATAGGAAGAAGCCAGCTCCCAACTGCTTTTAGTACTGGCAAGCAGGCATAATCAGTTCCCTTGCAGCACTCGTCAACTCCAAGACAACAAAGCTGTAGCTCTGCACTCCATATACTCTCTCCAAAAACAGTTAACAGTCCTTCAGAGAGGCTGGGAAACAGTGTAGCAGCAAACTTTGGGGGGCACTCTTTGGTAGATCATATTGAGTATCAGCATTATGTCATACAGAAATTTGGTACCTGACATCATCTGTAGTCTACAGAGAAGTTAATGGGCTAGTCACTATTAGAAAGCCCAAAGCATTACAGCCCCAAAACTCAAATTGTTAATTTTGGGAAAATGCCATGCTGAAAATACTGGAGTATTTTAAATCGTGGTTTGGATACATTCTTAAACATATGCTTAGAATTTGACATTCAATGTATAGAAGACCCTTTCAGGCAACAGAATCCCCAAAAGCATTGTAAATGGCAAGGCAAATTACATGTTGGTGGTTAAAAGTTGTATAATTAAGAGGACTGAACTCAGAGCCTCACACGTTGCATCCAAACAAAAGCCACGATTAAAGAGGTCTTAACCGCATTGTTTTGCATTTGCTAATACTAGTGCAGATTTCATGTTAAATTGCTTGCTCTGTTCATGACATCTCACAGACAAGGTACAATCATCTACAGGTGCTTCCAAAACCATCAGCTTGGGGCCAGAAGTGGAACATGGATCTCCAAGAATCTCAGCTTTTCCACAAACACAAATAGCATAAATAGTAGTTTTGCTGATTCCTCAACTTGACC